AGAGATAGAGTGTGTGTGTGTGTACATGTGTGTTTGTGTGTGTTTGTGTGTATGTGTGGTGTAATAGAGAGAGAGAGTGTGTGTGTGTGTATGTTTGTGTAATATTTGATAGACAGACGCCCGGCTTACATTTATTCCAAGAAAGAGAGACCCAGCTGAATTTCAGGCTGTCTACTATAGCATTGGTTTGCGAATGCGACAGAACTCATTATAAACCTAGAAGACAAAACTGCATACAATGTGCAATAGCTGATACAACATAACCTCATATAAATTAGCATACCAGTTTTGGGTAGTCCAGCCTCATAGGATTCCGCGTGCTCAACATGCACGACAGACATGTCTTCTATCTCCCTAGGCCCAAGGATACCAAACTGTACTCTGTGCAGACCCCTTCTGGGTGCAGCAGAGTAGGTCTGTTGCTCGAGAGTCGACGCCATTGTGATAGATGTGTATGAATGTTATTTAAACGTGCGGATTCCTCTTTATACGCCTCAATGTGGAAGTTGTGCCGTCAAATTATTTGACACGCACCCCCTCACACACACGGTTCCCGCCAAGAGCCCTAAACTGCGATGAAGCTTCTTATACGTTTCCGGTTGCGAAGTCTCGCTTCTTCAAGCTACAATAATGCTATACTCGAGTATGATGGCGACCTTTTAGCAGTATATGGTCTGTGTAAACAGTGTGTTTCCTTATCGTATACACTGGAAAAAGCATAATATATGTAGTTGATTGATATTTATATATAAATTTACATGTTCATCGTCTGTATAACTGCTCTTGCTCTTTCAGAGATTTTATTTTTGTTACAAGTACGAAACGCGCGCCTGTCCCACCGAGTCCATAGTTCCAGGACAATTTGAGTCCTAAAAGCGAGAAAAACTGGAAAATCACACTAAAAAGTTGTGTAATTTCTGATGAAGAAGGCTTTGAAAATATTATATAAATACCATGGACTGTAGCTGAACTAGCCGCAAAAATTCAACAGGACCATAGTGTCTTCCTTGTTGAATTTGTACTATTATAGGCGGCTATGCATTGATTCTGTGAAGTATATATATAATATACAAATTTCGTAGACTCAGTTTACAGTATTTGCAATATATAAAAATGGTGTGTTTGGTTTAATTTGTGTATCGGGGGCACTTACTTAAACCGTGTATAGATACTTTATCATGTATCCTCGCGGTGCATGCACTTCTGTTGATGTTCGTAACACAATCTGCACGGATTTTGTAGTACTCCTGTTCAGTATATCAACCCTGTTCTAGTGTGACCCCTGCTATAGGTCCAATCTCGGGTTACCCTTACTATGTGCAGATCCTGGTGTACTTCTTCTGTCTTTCTCACCAGCGACATGTGAGGCTGCTTAGCACCGTGTCGCAGAATCGCATAACCACAAACCACAGCATTCGTACACTTGTCAGTATATAGCGGCACAAAACAAACTAGGTTGGCCATCGACTATACGGTTGAGAGTTTAATATACACGTTCCGCACTAGATCCTTTTATTATATGAGTTTATACTGCTGTATTCATTACTTGTGGTGCAGGATGTAGTCTGCAACCATGCATGATATTCGGGTATGGTTCGTTTCCTCGTAATTGGTATACACAACGAGGAAGGCCATATTTTGCATTGATATCTTTTTGCGTTCGAAGCAAACTAAATACAAATACAAACCAGTGAGACCACTCGTTTTGTATGACAGGGTAAGAGTAGCAGCACTCAACACCCCTGTGTAATTTGCCTTAGTTCCATGGCTCGCGTCCACAATGGACAATGACAACAAACCCTAAATCGGTGTTGTTGCATGACTCAGTCGAGCAGATTTCTATTATCCTCATTAACCTTCCCTATTTGGGACAAAAGACTGGGACTCTGGGCACAGTCCCAGCGTCTCAAATGCTGTGAACAAAAACATAGGAATAAACATATGCAAGAGTGATATACGAATTGGGTATTATTGCTTGCGCACGTGCAAGTATGGTGCCTATGTGTGAGTGAGTAGCAGAAAACGGCGAGGATCTATTAGAGACGCGGAAGGTATTGTAATGATTGATGTCGATTGTCTAGTAGCATCAAATTACTCTAAAACACTGGTTGAACTGGACTAGTACTTGATGCTAAAGCTAAAGCTGTTAAAAGTGAAGTTAAAAGTGAAACCATTGGATAAATACGGTGTTTTCATTGTATAGCTTTCGTGCTGTATGTATCACAAATAAGTGTCACTAATTGAGCCCTGCCAACATGGTGAGCACCGCGTAACCGGTAGACGATATGTAACGTAAGTTTCGACATATCTCCCGGCCGGACTATGACTTGTAAATAGACAATGAGGATTCGAATAGGGATTTAGTATAAATAAAAACCACTTTAAAATCCTTATTTTTATTTCCATTTTTCAAGTGGGTAAAGTGAGTGGACTCTCAGTGAGGCCCTGCATGATGATTATCATCAATGATGAACCCGTACACTAACGTGAGTGGGAACATCCGCATCCAATTGCATGCATAAGCATCAGTCTCGTCATCGAGTCTGAATAATGTGTCTAGTTCGGAAAGAACAAGATACAGACGCTTACTATAGAAATGAAATCCTGTAGAGTAAGGTCAATGTTGTAAAATTATGGCACATACACTTATTTATACTATTTTCGGGTGGGCGTCTGTCGCGGTATCATGCGTCGGTACGTACTTATTTTTTAAAGTTTGACTCCACGTGCTAATAAATATGCCAGCCTGTGAAGAACCCCATATTAGGCCTTGCAAAAATTGGCGCCCAAAATCAAATCAATCTGTGCTAAAATAGTAATATGTATGCACCAAAAAATACACGGCTCTATGATATGAATTTTGATGGCTATGGCTAAAGGGCATTGGCCCTATACAAAGTACTATAAATACTCCTATACTCTCACGGTCTCACCCATGATTCATTGATTAAATGATTATAGCCTTTGAATTCGTCATCATGCCACATGACCGACGACATCAGAGTTTGTATGACAAAAGTCCACAGACTCCCCACTCACAGTCTCACACTGAGTGTCTCTCCACTGTCTCCAGTAGAGACTAATGAGTGTCTACTTACTACTACTCTCTAGTAGTATTGATAGTAACTGTCTACACTCTACACTCAGTCCAACTCTTTCT